CAAACAAAAATGATGCGATAATAATATAAAATAATTGGATAAAAATGTAAATTAATGCTATTGGATAAAAATAAAAATAGAAAGATAAAAATAAAAATAAAAGAAAAAGTTTAAATGAACATTACTACGCTAAAATATAACGTGATATAACTGATGAAAGGTAGAATGGTAACAATATTAATTTATATTATATTATTATATATAATTATATTATATATAAATAAATAAGACTATTAATAAAAAACTAATATATAATAAATGATACTCCTTTAACTTTGTAATTAGAATAACTTTGTTAGATTAAATTTAAAAAATTAAAAATTTTATAATAAACAAAAATTTAATTTATTATATTTTATTAATAAATTGTATATATAGTAATTAATAGAATTATAAAATCATATATATATATATATATAATTTTATTAATAAATATTTTTTATTTTTATATCAAAATAAAGATTATAAATTATAATTTAATATATATTTTTTCTGGATTTTTTTCTGATAAAGTTGTTTTAATTGCAAAATTATTGCAAAAATTTTTGCAATAACTTTGCAATTAGAACAATTTTGTCAAAAAAAAATTTAGAAAATCCAAGAAAAAATATATATTAAACTATAACTTATAATCTTTATTTTGATATAAAAAAAAATTTTATTAATAAAATTAAAAACTTTTATATAAGACAAAAATTTTAATTTGTATTATATTTTATTAATAAAATTAAAACTTTTATATAAGATAAAAATTTTAATTTTTACTATATTTTATTAATAAAATTATATTTTGAAAAATTGGATTGAATAATTATATAAATTAATTATTTATAATTAAATTAATAATTATAAAAATTTTAAATTGACTTTTAATTATATTTTATTATATATAATAACTAATAGAATTATAAAATCACATATATAATTTTATTAATAAAATATAATAAAAATTAAAATTTTTGTCTTATATAAAAGTTTTCAATTTTATTAATAAATATTTTTATTTTTATATCAAAACAAAAATTATAAATTATATTTAACATATATTTTTTCTGATTTTTTAGATTTAATTTGACAATTACAAAGTTATTACAAATTTTTTTATAATTAAAATATAAAATTAATTATAAAAATTTTTGTAATAATTTATAATTAGAATAACTTTTTCAAATTAAATCTAAAAATTTTGAAAAAATATATTTATTTAATATAAAAATAAAAAATATTTATTAATAAAATTGAAAACTTATATATAAGACAAAAATTTTAATTTTTACTAATAAAATTATATGTATATATAATTTTATAATTCTGTTAGCCACTATATTTAAAAAAATTATATTAATATTGTTTCATTAAAATTAATATACTCAAAGCTTAAAATTGCTTTCTTAATTATTATTTGTATATAAAATAAATAACAAAAATTTAATATAATTTTAATTTTTATTTTAAAATTTTAATATTTTACAAGTTGAATTATTTGAATTAAATAATACAAAAATTAGATTTCTTTTCTTGATTAAAAAAATACTTTCAAATATAGAACATGTTTTTATTGATATTGATATTGATATTAATGTTAGTAATTAATTTTTTGCGCCACCTTTCCTTATAAGACTTGGTGTTCGCCATTAGCTTAATTTAATTGATTTTATTAATGATGAATGGATGATAAGGCATATTATTTTGGTTGTTTTTCTAATATTGTTTGATTTCTGCTAAAAGTTTATTAGTTACTATGTACAATGAATATTTAATTTTTCCTATTCCCAACTCAGATAACCAAGCCCAAAAAAAGCAGTCATTTGTACAAACTATTAAGCATTACGCCAGCCACATCAAACAAACATACACAGACACAAGCCCCCTCCTCATATAACCAATGTCCAATAAAAGTTTTTCCGAGAATTTTTTTTTGTTGAAAATCTTATCCCAAAATTTTAATCTGATTTTTTTGTATTTGTTGGATTGCTAGGCGTAATCTCATCCCTACGGCAGAAAATAAACAAAAGATTAATAACAATAATAACAATAACAATAACAACAATAATAATACGAATAATAATAATGACTAGATTGGAATAACACAAATGTTACTTACTCTTCAGATTCACTACGCGTATCCTCAGCATTCTTTCCACTTACAACTCGAATAGCAATACGCAGAATTAGCGCAAACCAATAAATCATTAGCACTTGTAGCAACATCAGGCCGAGTGCGATAATGAATCGAGTCCATTTGTGCAGCCAATACCCATTCAACGGATCCCAAATACACGGATTGATCTCCGGTAAGCAAGACTCGACTACTGTGGAATAGGTGATGAACCCGAATAGAAAATGACGCGTATATACCCATGTTATCATGAATAGAACAAACATCGAATCGGTGATTAGTGTCGGGAATTTGAGGTATTTAAGACATTTGGCAAACTGGTATTTTTTGTAATTGATTAGTAATAAATATTGATTCTTCGCATATATGAAAATAGGAACAAAACGCGCGTTTTTAAAATCAAATAACTCGTTTTTTATGGTACAGGTGGATGATACGAATGACTTGAATATCTTACCGCCAACCAAATATCCGAAAAATCCATGGTGATGAAAACTGCGTTCCCTACTCTCGTAAAATTAGATGAATAACTCCCACCGATCAATATACATGTAATAATATGATGGGCAACTAGTTCAAGAAAATCCTTTCGAGGTTTCTCGAGATTCAAAATGAGAATCACGACTTGTTGAAGCCAAAATCCAGATTGAATGAGATAATAATATTTTTCTAATGCACTCAGATGAAAATGAGGATAGTCAATCCAAAAGTACTTCGTCTCAAAATACCAGTAAGGGCTTTGGCGCATCACATACTACATAATTAAAAAAAAGAGTTAATCGGTATTCTGAATATAAAGTTGGATTTCCCAATGTTATTTATCTCTTAATTCTTCCTAAATATTCATTAGATTTTCCCACTTTGAATCAAAATACAAGCCAAGCAAAAAAAAATATTAACCACACGCATAACTTTGTGATATCAATTTAGCACCCCCATATCATCTAATTCAACTACCTGAAACGCGCCACGTTTCAATTCTCGTATCATGAACTCACCACTCCAACAGCCGAAGATATTGAATAATAAATAACCACGTAACCCTGCTCCATGAATCGTGTAAGTTTACTTTTTTTGATTTCAGCCCAAGTTCCCAGTGGTTTGAGCACATATTGCATGATTGCTTCCCTCGTAAAAGTGAAAACTACAACCCAAAAAGAGATCAAGCACAAATCCCATAATCCTTTTCCGTAAGAGGATTTTGTAAATTTCATCTGATCATGATCATGAGATCCAATTTGATATGCGATGAATAAGAATTTTGAAAAAGGGTTTCTGGAAGTTGGGTTGACGAGGTAACCAAGAATAATTGTGCCTATAATTATTAGAGGAAGTTCTGAAAAATGTAATTTTGGATAAGCGTATGAACATATAAATCTTTTTCATAACACATAAAAAATCGTAAGGTGAAAAATTATCTCTCACTTGCCTATCTGCCGTTCAATTATATAAATCGAGAACCTTGACGATAAAGTTTTCTTTTTGGAAAATGGAAATTCACAGGTAGAACTAGAATTCGCTTCACGTTTTCTCGTATCTCTTTTTGACATCTTTTTTTTCAGACTTATTTTTATTTTATTCGCAAATTTTACTCTCAAAACTACAGGAAGCAAGATAACGTCGTCCTTGAGCTATGATGATGGTATTAATAAGAAAAATTATTTGTACGTAGTGCTAAAAATTAATTTTTTGGTGATACAATAAATAGGCTTAGTGATGTTGGGGTAGAATTCTACATCATTTTATCATCATCGAATCGGAAAACGTCTAGCTTTAAATGATTATTTAGTATAGTACATGTACTTCATTATACACAAATTTGATCTCAAAACCCCAATGTTTAAAGATTTGGATTATAAATAACTCATTGTCGTGTACACGTGTACAGTAATTACGTATGCATATTGTGATGATCGATCATGTATACTGTGATCGTAATTTCGCATTATAAATTCCTGTAAACTAATGCTAAAGCAAAGTGAATATTTATTTACATGTCGTCTCTTACTATTCGCTATTTACGTTGTTTTTCTTTATTATTTACTGATCAGTGCTACGATAATAAATGCATTTTTAATCAATATTGTTCTTGTAAGTATGTAGAGAACCGTTTTCGTCCTGTACTTTTTCTTCGAATTTTTCGTTTAGGCGTTATCGTTATGATGTAACTTGTCTTTATTACACGTTTTTCTTTTTCGTTGTACCACGTGTTCAGTTAAACCTTAATTTAGATATTAATAATTAGGTTTATAATTACAGTAATTACCAATACACCGCGACCAGCGTTGTCATGTTACTATGTCCAAGAATCAGAAGTTACTGGACTGGACCATATTGGACTTGTAAAATTACTAAGTTTAGTGGTCCAATGGTGCAGTATTGGACTATGTCCAGTATGGTCTAGTTGACAACACTGACCGCGACTAATCCAATCAACAATGAGATCGCAATTGCTCGCTTCGAAAGCGTCCTAATAAAAAAGAGAGATCGTTATTTAATATGTGTATATAAAGCAACGAATTATATAACAATTAAGAAAATCTAATAAATACCTGGAAGAGCTTGGGTTGTCCAAATTCTCTAACTAATCGATTCCAACAAAATCATTGTATCATGTTTTTCCACGTACAGTTATTGATATTATTACTACTTGAAGCATAACCATTTTTTAATTCACATCAATCGGTAATTGTACGTACTCTCTACGTAGACATTTTTTTTCGCACAATACTAACTTGCAAATTTACATTCCATATACACCACAATAGTTCTATAAGTTCTATACGTATAAACATATTCTTATCGTTATGTTTATATAGAATTTATTTTTGGGGATCATAAATACAAATATGCAAGCTAGCATATATCAAAAGATTCAACTCTTAATAAAATCATTGAATAGAATACGTAGAATAATCAGGTAATAAATGAAAATATCTGATTTTAATCAGGAAATTCTCTGAATGGAGATTTTCCTTTCCTAGTTTCAATGGTCATTCGTTCACACTATGATCATATGTATTCGAAAATTACCTTGTTAATATATTACGTACTGTCATTTTACTAATACTTCTACTACTGATAATGATACATTCGATCATTAAAGTGACACTTCTTCGCTGATTACTTTCGTGTGACAACCAATCGTAAGCTAATACAAATTTAACTAGCAGAAATTTCATGCCAGCCTTAACTGCTCGCGATTGGGTTGGTCACTCTTAAATTAGGAAATTTGAAAATTGGTTCGGTAAACTAACTTGCATGAAATCAGTAAATCTATTAATGTCTTTATTTGGTAATGCTCAACTTTTACCGAGATTAATCTCGTCATAAAACAAAAACGAGATTTTTATATAAACAATACAATTTACCTGGTTGTCAACTGCATTATGGGAATCGCTGGAAGTTTAAAAATACAAAGTACGTTATTAGACAAGCAGCTCCGCTTACGTGTTCATAAATTTGGAAAGATTCATTTATTTGTTAATTTACCAAAGTGTGTCATGGCCGAAAAGTATGGTGCATTACATCTAAAGTCATCAAACGTTTGTGTTTTATAAAATGTATAAAGATCTTTACTAAGAAGTAAACACAAAATTTTAATTTGTGAATATGCTCAGAAAGGGCCCATTCTATTATATTTACGGATTAAATTTTGCATTTACTTCTTTGTAAAGAAGTTTATACATTTTGTAAAATACAAACGTTTGATGACTTTAGATGTTATGCAAAATATGTCAAAAACATTTGATAGTCGACCTATTTTATTATACTTTTTTGAAAATGAGCACTCTACGTATATACATATAATGATTTTGTATGTGTGCGTGTGTGTGATTACTAATTACTAATATCAGAGATTGGAACAATTTTTCAAATGAGCATGAAGACAAGAGTATCATGAGAAAAAACCGGTTTTTGGTTCGGAAGAATGAGCCCTGTATTTTAATTAACAAAATTAATTAACACTCATTTAATTTTTAATTCTTTTTTCCAAAGTTCTAAATATCTTCCAGAAAAGTATATTTTTATTTGTCTCATTTAACTATGTTACGCTTAATAATACAGTTTATTGTTTTTCTTGTGATTGTGATATATTTTATGGGAAATTGAGTTTCTTCAGTATTCGGAATTTTGTTTTTTTGACTCTTCACTATTCAAGATCTGTTCAGAAGAGTAGAACAATATAAGAATTTGTCTATCCAGAATATGAAAGAAAGATGACGACTTCTTTGTTTGTCAATTATGATTTTCGGTTCCACTGAAATGAATTGTTTCTAACGATAAATAGTAATTGTTCTGGTTTTTTTGACAAGGTAATATAAATAAACGTTGATTACGAAATTTGCAAATTAATTTGTCTAACGCCTACTTAATTTTTGTGTCGAATTCTTTAATCGAAGCACTTACAAATTTTATAACAAAACCAACACTATGCAATATTTGTAAATTCTTGAAGCAAAGTACGCTAATGTGTATGCAAGTGTATGTATACGTATACGATATGTTTTTCTAGTGGTTATTGATACAAGTGTAAAGAAATGGTTGTGCTTTATCGTTATTTCTACGATAACGATTCTGAATTCATTCGTTATACGTACTCAATTTTATTAATTATCACTTTTTTGGTATTGGTTTATTTGCTGTGTATGCATTGTATGTGAGATTAAATTAATGTTACCCTACATCATTTAATAATCCTGTCACAGCCGTATTATTTATATTGCAACGCAAGTGATTTAGCTTCACATAAATATTTTTATGAATCCATTTAGTGGATATGAAAGAAATTATAACAGGGTGCCAAATTGTGCATATTTTCTTATTTCAATAATTCGTTATGAAAAATATGGTTGTCGCTCGTTTTCAAATTTGAGTTATGTTATATTAGTAGTCGATCGAATTTGATTCATAATTTTATAGTACATTCATTTTTGCACATACATATGCTGTGTATTTGTTTTAATCGGAAGCACAATCCACAACCGTGTTCTTTATAAAAGTTTTATTAATGATCTTAGTAATATGTATATATATAGCATACATTTTAAGAAAATTTGTAAAAAAAGTTTCGGTGTTGTTTTATTTTTCCCTTCACCAAACATTATATATACCAATTACTTTTTTATAGTCTTTAATCTCATCTAATAATACAGTATACAAAAGTGAAAGTTTCAGATTGATGATATAGCTACGATTAAATTTCTAATACTAATCTAGAACATAAAGGAAAAAAATAACTTATTACAATAATTAAACGAAATACGAGATGCCGCCAGAGTATCCGGAAACTCCAGTTGTGTATGCACCTGGTGACGAAATAATGAGTGATATCTCGTTAAAAATTGGTAAGCTGTATGGGTTATTTTTCGAAAAAATGCAGCTTTCAATTTTTTAACATATGATTTATTTTCAATTCTTTCACTATTCAGAAAAAGATACCCTATCCTCTTCGGGAGGGGTCGAAAGTGTAAGTCTCGCTTGGCAAGACTTGTCATTCACAATTACAAACTCGAAGACAAAAGAGAAACAGCATATTATTCAAGATGTAAGCGGGTTCGTGAAACCCGGCGAAGTTATGGCTAGTGAGTATTACTGAAAAACCCATCTTATGGGCATTACAGTCGACTCTCGATATAACGACCATGCAGATCCTATTGTAAACAATATAAATTCAATAGAATCTGCATGGTCGTTACATCGAGAGTCGACTGTAATCAGCTTGTCATGTGATACATTAAAAATATTCATTTTTATTTTAAAAAAAGTTATGGGTCCTTCGGGAGCCGGTAAGTCGACACTCTTGGATTTATTAGCCGGTCGTAAAGATCCGAAATCGGTGTCTGGTCAAATGTATTTGAATGGTAGACCAGGAGAGATTAAATATGTATCGACTTATGTTATGCAAGATGATGCTTTAATGGGTATGTTCTCTTAATAACTATTCTTATTTCTTATCAACATAACAGTAACAATAAAATCAATTTAGGTGTTTTGACTGTTCGCGAGAATATCCAGTTTGCGGCTGATTTATGGTATGTATAAATAAACCTTTGGTTCAAATTAATTTTAGCATAGCTTTCTAGCAGAAATATTAAACATTTCTTTTTTACATTGATCAGTTTTCCATCAGCAGTATCAGCCGCTGATAAACGTGCACGTGTTCAAGGAATCATAGAAGAATTCGGTCTGGATAGAGTTGCCGATTCCAAAATAGGAACTGTATTTGTGCGCGGTGTTTCTGGCGGCGAAAAACGTCGTGCATCGATCGCTTCTCAAGTAATCACACTACCAAAAGTTATTTTCCTCGACGAACCAACAACCGGTCTCGATTCAGCTGCCGCGTATAATGTAATGAAAGCGATTGTTAGTATGGCACGAAGACACAAACTCACTGTGATCGCTAGTATTCATCAGCCATCAACCGAAACTTACGAACTTTTCGACAAATTGTGTTTAATTGGTCGTGGACGTACACTTTACATGGGTAGCCGAGAAGCGGCTCTAAGTTATTTCGAAGGATTAGGTCACGTGTGTCCCGCATATTCCAATCCCGCCGATCATTTTCTTCGTCTTGTCAATTCTGATTTCATGGCTGATAAAACTAAAGCACAAGAGCACATTTCAAACTTTATCAGTTCATTCGAATCATCACAAGCAAATACAACAATGAAAAATGAGATTATTTCATTAATTGAACAGCATAAAGGAGATGAAGACACCAGAAAGATTTCTTCACGTACAACAAATCGCTATGCTCGTAATTTCTTTGCACAAACTGGAATTCTGGTGGCACGATCCTTCAAAAATGCTATGAGAAATGTACTGATGTTTTGGATTCGAGTAGCAATGTATGTGTGTTTAGCTTTATTGATGGGATCGACTTGGTGGCAAGTTGGATTTAAACAAGAAAATATCCAAGACCGGTTTTCGGCGCATTTCTTTTCGGTCGCGTTTTTGGCATTCATGAGTGTCGCTGGAATTCCCGGATTCCTTGAAGAACGATTGGTGTTCCAACGAGAACGAGCAAATGGGTTTTACTCTGTCGGCCCTTATGTCTTGGCAAACACCATCATATCAATTCCATTTGTCTTTATCATTGCTCTCTCGTTCACCGTCGTCGCTTATCCTATGATTGGTCTCAATGCTGGATTCGAACATGCTACGTTATTCTGCGTTTTCCTTTTCCTTGCGTTGATCGTCGCCGAATCGATGGTGGTCTTTATCGCAGCCATAATTCCAATTTTTGTGGCCGCTCTTACGATTGCCGCTTTCGCAAACGGATTCTTTATGGTTGTCGAAGGATACTTTGTAAGACGTGACGCGATTCCAAAAGGATGGAAATGGGCTCATTATATCGATTATCAAAAATGGGCATTCGAAGGAATCATTCAGAATGATTTTATCGGTTTGACCTTTGATTGCAGACAAATGCCAGAAAATACCACGATGTATAGCTGTTACTATGGTGATAAAACTGGTAATTCGGCTACCTTTACTGGCAAAGATGTGTTGGATGATTTTGGGTATACAGAGATAAACCTTGTTTTGTGGGCGGTAAGTTTCTCTTTTTACATATCAAGTTATATCAGATGTTTATTTTGAATATTGACTTATATTTTCTCTTCTTCGTATTTTCAAGTTGGCACTCATCGGTTTAATGTTGGTTCTCCGATTTGGTTTCTATCTTGTTCTTCGTATGAAACGAGCTCGTAACTAAATAACAAACTTCACGTGACAATAATTTACAAAAACTTTTTTCGTCTGTACGACATATTATTTATTATTTTGCCGAACAGCTTTTCTTTGGACTATGTGTATAATAACCAGATGTTCATATATAAGGATTTATAATTTATTCATCACGTAATAATTTTTCTCATGCGCATATTTATCTTCTTTAAAATCAATAGTCTGGTACTTTTGAATTGCATGTATTTGAATTTTTTTATTAACATAAACCCTTTGGGTTTTATTAGACATGATATCTTTGATTGATTAATTAATTACATGTAATTAATTGGTCACGCGGATTTTTTACCGCAGCTAAAAAAATTAATAATTTTACGCGCGTGATTTTCCTCTTTGCCCATTGCAATTTTATACAGTCTCAAGATGAACTTGGATGAACCACGAGAGTTTCGCGAAGAGCTCTTAGAATGTGCAAAACTAATCAAATTACCAAAAGAAGGTAATTGTTATTGCTTAATAAAATATTCGAAGTTAAACAGATAAATTTTAATTCGATGAAATAAAAAGATTACACCCAAGAACTATTCAAACAAATCGGACTCGAGCCGTTTACTATATCAAACAACAATGTCAAAGAAACGATTATTAGCGAATCCAAGAATCGCATAGAACATCATATTGGCAAATGGATAGTGGAAGATCAAAATGCGATAACGCTATTGAAGGAAGTGATTAAAGGAGTTCAAGTGTCAGAAATTGAGTCGGGCGAAACAGCTTGTGAATGTAAAGCTTTCTTTATTAAATTACTGTAAAAACGGGATTTATCTGTTATAATTCGAAGTATGATTATTGCAGCAAAAGAAACGATCAACGATTATTATTTAGAACAGCCGTTGTTTCCAAGGCATGTTGAAGAAATAAAACCGTTGCAAAAATATCCTGTGCTTAGCTTAATGCAGTTATCCAAGCGATTGCCTAAATTTGAAGTCATCGAGAGTGAAGAACTAGTGACAATGGAACAAGGAACAATGCTCATCGAGGATTTATGGTATACGTATATACAAAATTTGCACATTTTATCTGCGAATTGACAATCAATATACTCATGCATTTTAGAACAATTGAATAGTAATCTAAATCCGAACATTACAAAAGAAGAAATTGAATACATCACCTCTATCTTACACGAACAACAAAAACTTCTTCATCAGCAACAAACTAACTTTCATGAACTCTGTTCGTTTGACGCTCTGTTGGATGATTTATATCTCGAGGAATCTTTAATACCTGTAAAAGATTATCGTATAATAAATCAACGATTCCCGAAATCTTTCAGTGAGATTATTATGCCGTTAGTGGATAAAGAGTTCAAGGAAGCGTCTTCAACATCCACATCGAACGAGAACACTAATGATCAATTGGTGCCCGAAGAGAAAGGAATTAAAGTTCCATTAGAATGGGTGAACGAATGGGGTAAAAATAGGAATTTAGAATTTTATTTTTGCGAGTCATAGCTAGAAATTATAGGTGCTTCTCTTTTTATGATCCTCCTCTAGAGGGAATTAGTGATCATCCACTCGATTCAGAAGAAACAGTTTCTGCAAGTTTTAGCGAAGTGCCAGTTGAATTGGACGCAACAACTTGGAATGATATGCAATTAGGTTGGTTCTTGTCAACTGCAAAAAGCCAAATGTAATATATTAAAATCTTACATTTCAAAATAGAGCTTGCTTTAATTCCAGCAAAAAAAGATCCAATAGAAGCAAACAATCGGAAAAGACAGTAAATATATGTTAAAGATTGTTTGAAAACACAAATATTATGAATTAATAAATTTGCTCGATTTTATCCTTAGACTCAAAAAATCAAAAACTGTAAAAGATGAAGATTCAGATAAAGCATCAATTGATGATTTGGCAATGTATGAATCTTTAGTCATTTGAAATATCATAGTCATCGTTAAATATTATCGTTATAATATGATCGCGTAGGATGAATTCCTTGGCCAAAACAATCCAAGCTGTTGTTCCTTTTGAAAAAGATATGTTAAAAGTTTCACCACTTGATCAAGAAACTGAATCTCTCATTAATGACATGGAAAAATTGTTTGCGGCAAAAATTAAAGGTAACGAATGGAAGACGCTGATCTTGGAACAATCAATGGATGAAGTTGGTGGATTGAAATTCGAAGGTAATGACGACTATAATGATATTCCTAATCTTAGCATTATCAAAAATAATGACAAAAAATCCAGTACCAGAATTACCGCACCCATCAATAATCGCCAAACTCAAAAGTTCATTAAAATGCCCGTTCATTCCGTCGCGTTTATCGGATCTAGTCGCTCGTCGTAGCAGAAACTTGTACCCTGACTTGCAACAATACTTAGTTGCTTTCACTGGCATAAAAACATTTGAACTTGAATTACATTGGAATCCAATAAAGAATCTCACTATCTTGTCCATTGAAAAGACAGCTAACGTCGAATGGCTTACTGATGATGCGGCTGAAGGAGCAATGAAAAAAGAGTGTTGGTGCGATGTCATAGTCAAACTTATGGATAATTTAAATTTTATGATTGATCAAATTGAAGATGATGAAAAAATAATTGCGAGAAAGTGTGAAGTAATGCTGCAACATACTAAAAAACTGACACTGTCACATTCCGGGAAAAATAGCAGAACAAATGAATTAAAGGAACGAATAAGCTCTCAAAATGCGATAATGGAATTGAATCCTGAAAGTAGCTCATGTATTGAACCTACAAACATTATATCTGAGCGAAAAAACAAGGTCACCAAATGGCTAGAAAGCATTGATCATCAACAAGATGAATATTTCTCAAACTCTACCGCTATTATAAAAAAAGAAACAGAAAGAAATTCAGAAATTAGTTTTGATGAGTTTTCGTTCAATTCTGCAGATGCAGAAAAAAGAAAATTATCACTTTTCAATAATCTCGATTCTTCAAATATGAATACTGAAAAGTTTTCGGCAGCTAGAGCGATTGACAGATTCTTAACGTTGAGAGATAAACCGATAAATAATAAGGGTAAAGGTAAAGCAGCAGGTAGAAGAATGCTAAAATTGATTTTGATTTTCGCTATAAAATATCTATTGATATTTCAATAATTTAAATTAAATAGAGCATATTTCGCATAAACAAAAGAGTATTATTTCGAGGACGCCTTCAAATCAAGTATTCTCTCCAAATTTGCATCGAGCTGCATTTCCCAGTCCAATCTATCTTAATCCAATATACCAGCAAAAACAAGAGTCGAGTAAGTGTAAACATAAGACAGAGTCAATTCATAATCTACATGCAAATGAAATTTTAAATATTCGTTATTTTGTTAGCACCCCAATCTGAGAACATTTACACTCATTTGCCCATACCAATCACCACTCATACATATATAATATCATCTCGACTCTTGCAAAACCGTGCTTTTGTGACGGCATTAAGAAGTGAAGATTGCAAGGTCGAATTGATTGAGCGTGATTTTGAATATTTGAGGGTAAGTCATCTTTTATAGATATCGGAGCCATGATAATTCGTGTAATTTAATACATGTATCGAACATACTGTCGATTTTACTATTTAGACAACGTTACCAGATAACGTATCCACTACTCAACATGTCGATGCCGACTTGATTCTAGATGAAGAATCAGCGCTGATTTTTCTTTCACTCTTACAACTTTCTCAACAAAACTCTGCATCGAATAAAAAGTCAAGCACAGAAGCGGCTCTTTCGATTCTCCACTTACATAAAAAATACGCAAACTTGTATCTGGTTCTCGAGACATACGCGTGGAATCAAAAATCCAATGATTCAATTAAATCCTCTCTTATACCATATCCTTTTACCTCGCCCAATCAAAAAGCACTAAATGAACTTTTAGTGATTCTGGAAAGTTGCGAGTGCAACGTCGAAATATTTTTCTCGTCAAGAGAAGAGATCTCGGCGAGATATGCGAGAATGATTGGAGATTGTTGTGCTGAAAAGTGTAATAGTGATGATGGAGGTGAAGGAGAACGACAAACAAATTATCCCGCGAAAGGTTGGAAATCTAGGCGACAGTGGGAGTCGAGACAATGGATGGCAACTGAAGAAAGTCTTGTGTGTGAACTTTTTATTATATTCGATGAATCTGAATCTGCAAATTTCTAAGAGTCTTTTATTTGATTAATGTAGCATGAACGGTTTTTGACAAGTTTTAGTCCACTAATTAATGCGTTTGCAGCACAAATTATTCTGACGGCGACCACACTTTCAGAATTTCTTCGAATGACGCATAAAGAGCGCATTGATTTGTTTAGTGGTTGGATTGATGAGACACGTCTGGTACGATGATAATGTTCAAATTTTTTGCTACAAATTACTAGAAAACAAACAATATTTTCAATATAGGCGAAATTCGACGAAACCATAAATGGCATTCTTTGTCCTGAAGAGAAAAATTCTTCTAAAGAAAAAGAAGTCGACAACAACAGAAATATCGAAAATAACAGTAATCATAAAAAAAGAAACATGAGCGATATCAATAATAATATCAATGGTTCGAAACAAGAAAATACTAAATTTAATTTAAATCATTTCATTAACAACAAAATGCTGAATCACAAATTTCAATATGAGCAACGGGAAATAAATAGCACCAGTTCTGGGATATTTCATGCTGTTGGTGACGAGGGAATTGAACCAAATTTATATGAAGGTGAAGGTAATAATAATAGTATTAATACTAATGAAGGAGAAGAAACACTTTTTCAAGACGAATACTTTTTAGAGGATGAAGGTGAAATAATATTTATTTAAGTAGTATTCTTCCGTCTTCGCGAAATAGATTTTCAATGTTAACAACACAGTCGAACTCTTTGTTCGAATCAATAACATATCACAAGAAAATTTTGTTGATTTCATTGCTTTTTTTTTTGATTAGTTTTGGTTTATAAATATTTTACGCATCAACCCTTTAAAAATAACTCCATGATGATTGATATAGTTGTCCAAGTGATATTTCGCCTCAAACAGTTGCCTCATTTGTCGCATTCAATGCTTTTCCAACACATCCTTTCTTTCTCCCTTAAGTAGTTCATTCTCTCTTTTCATAAATTCGAGTTGTCATGTTAGATTGTTCATGTGCGTGGTCATAAGTATTAATAAAAGATTTTCTTCGTCAATCTCATCAAAATGATGCATCCATTTAAAAGAACGATTTGATGCTTTTTGAGAGGGCATGTGACCGATGCGGAGTTTTTAGAAAAGTTGAATAGGAAGACAGAATCACTAGTTATTGAGGATAACGATAATAATAATCAACAAATCAAGTCAGGCTGGATCATTAAATGACTTCAATATTTATCATCAGCAGCAGCAACAATAAATGCCACCTTCACATCATTATTCGTATAATTCGTAATATTTATTGCATACTGGTTGATTGACTGTTATATGGTGCAGGAACTCTTAAATCGACAATATGTTTCAATTTTAAAATGCTACTACTCAACTCAACATAGAGGCAAAATTTTCAAAATCTGCCCAGTAACTTTGTTCTTTATAATAAGTTCTACAAAGTTACCGGGCAGATTTTGAAAATTTTGCCTCTATGTTGAGTTGAGTAGTAGCATTTTAAAATTGAAACATACATATTGTCGATTTAACATCAAATCTGAATGCATAACAAAAATTAATCTTATCTTCATATCCAAAGTAATTTTTTAACGATAATAAATGCACTCGAATAATATTAATAACCGGTTTTATCGAATAATTCTAGTTATAAACGACGAATTATATAGAGAAGAAAAGTGCCGAAAAATTCAGCAGTTCATACAATATAAATACATGTAGATACATGTGTTATCCTATTTCAATTTGGTTCAAATATGCCAATTCCTATTCGTGATACGTAAAAGAAAATTGACTCAATCCTTGTGCGACAACATTGAAAAATCGGATAAATCATTGTCAATGTACGTATTGGTATGCAGTTGAACACAATCCATTTCTCACAGTATTTTTACTACATGTCCACAGAAATCTTAAACACGGTATCTTCAATAATATTCAGTTCAATACTTCAAGGAGAACTTCCAGTAAAAATAATTCGCAAAATTTTGGAATATCTAAATATAAAAAAGCATGACACAAACACCTTATTTAACCAATTAAAGGGATCTTCAAAAAAGAATAAAGAATATTATGTACTGCTTGGATTTTTTCATGAACATGGAATTGGAACGAGAATTGACCCTACTGCGGCATTTCAATTTTACAAGATAGGAGCACTGGCAGGTGATGCGAATGCCCAAAGACTTTACGGACACTGTTGGGAACTCGGAATCGGAACAAAGAAAGATAAAAAACAAACATTTAATTGGTATCTGAAATCTGCTCAAAGTGGTAATTCAATGGGTCAATATTGTCTTGGAACGTGTTATGATGATGGAATTGGAATCAGAGTGGATCCCGAGATGGCTTTTCGCTGGTACGAAGAAGCATCGATAAGTGGAAACGTCGCTGCACAATATCTGCTTGGATTCTGTTATATGCTTGGCATCGGTACCGACTATAATCTAGAACTTGCATTTAAATGGTTCAAGACATCAGCCGAGAAAGGCGACGAAGATGGACAGTTTGAATTAGCGCAATGTTATCGATTTGGTGATGGTGTGTCTTGTGATCACAAATTGTCATATTTTTGGTATAAACGGGCAGCTGACGCTGGACATGCCGATGCGCTGATTGAATTGGCTAGATGCTATTCCGAGGGACGTGGAATACGACAAAATCATCGAAAAGGTTTTCTTGCTTGGAGAATTTCGGCGTATTCTAAAAAGATAGTCGCGTATCCTTGGTTGGCGTCAGCATATGAAGTTGGTTGGGGAACGATGAAGGATAAGCATGAAGCTGTAAGGTGGTATATAAAGTCTATGAAATACAGTAAGTTTGGTGGAAGAAGTTCTTTAGATAATTGTTTGAGAGAAAAATAATGTGATTTTTTACTTTTGTTTAGTTTATGTACTCGTTGGAATTGTTTTTAGTAATATTATTTTCCTGAATGAATTTATTTTCAACAAATTATGATTGAATAAACCGATAGCACGTGTATCTGGAACGCGATTTTCGCATGTAGTGATAAAGATTCAGTAGTCGGATTTGATCATTTATAATGCCCGGGACTTTGATGTCCGCGTCTATTAGTGTAAATGCCGGCACATTACTAGTTAATTTCGACCAAGGAACTTTAGTGCTAACCTTGAGATTGACCCGTGTTCGTTGGACAACATACAAAACCGCACTGTTCCGAAATTAAGCACCCTAAATTTATATATTAATCACCCCAATAAATCAGCTTCAGGAATAAAAAACTTTTCAACTAGAACCAACTACATGTTGAATTTCTTCATCTTCCAATTCTTGTTGTGTTTCTTGAGTTTGAATAATTATTGGTACTCTTTCTTTTTGTTTAGTATTGGAAGATGATGTTGGTTGTTGACTGATTGGTTTGATTACTCAATCAAAGTATCTTGGAATAGTATTCACTTTCCCTGTAAAAAAAAATTTTCAAACATATCAGACAAAAATCTATTTTTATTGCTGGAGTAAAAATGGTTTTTAAAAAATCTGACATACTTCCGTTTTTTTTTACTGGATAAAAAATGGATTTATACAAAAAATCCAGTTTTACTTTAGTAAAAATCCATTTTTATTGCTGGAGTAAAAATGATTTTAAAAGATCTGACATACTTCCATTTTTTTTTTACTGGATAAAAAATAGATTTATATAAGAAATCTGGTTTTACTTTAGCAAAAATCCATTTTTAGAAGATCTGACATAGTTCTGTTTTTTATCCAGTAAAAAAAATGAAAGTATGTCAGATCTTTATCATTTTTACTCTGGCAATAGAAACAGATTTTTAATTTTATTTATCAGTATGTATTATATGATCTTCCTGATTTATTATATAATTTTTATTTTTGATGATTGAAAAAAATTGATAGATCTAGTTATAGCATTAATATTAATAATTTCAGAATGACCAAGATCACGGAAAATAAGTGGATTATAACTGGAAACTACTGATATAGTAATTCACTGTACCAAAACTAACAATATCCATTCATTTTTATTCTTTATATATTCATATGCAAAATAGTATTTTACTTTCTTATAAAATTTCTATTCTTCTAAATCAATAGATGTGTTTTTGTTCCAGATATTTTTATCAACTAATAGTGTTGCCTAAAAAAAATAAAGTAATTATTAGTATTTGTCTGAAAAGAAAATTAACATGTCACATACATACTGCTATTTGATAATTAGTATGAGATATGTCTCCTTTCTGGCTGATGAGTTGTGAATTAATTATTTCTTTATTCATAATTTAAAGCTTCCCATAAATTCAAATATCTGACGAAATTTCCTAAAATTATCATACTGGATCATGCTAGTATTAGTACACGTAGTGAATAGTTTGTGAATGAAGTTTTGAACTAGATAAAATGCTGGTGAAAAATAGAAAAATACCTCCTTAAGTTTATCTATTTCTTGCATTTTAATATAGTAACATCTATGCAAACTATTTTTCCAGTTTGCTAAGTATACATTTTTATCTTGATGCCAATAGTAATTCATCTTCATCTTCAATTTCAAAATTTTGATTTTCTTCAGACTTCTTTATATTTTTCTTTGGATTATCAAATACTTGTTCATTAATTTCTGAAAAATATTGAAGATGAGAAAATTGATTCCACACAGTAATTTGGTTAGTTAGATTTGTGTAGGAATGTTGTTTTGATCAGACAAGAGACAATAATATCCCACAAAGCCTTTTCATCAGATATTGCCAGATCACCCATGCTGGTCCAGTATTTTGAATGAATTTGATAATATGAAGAAAATAATGGAAGGAGATCAAAGCTGTCAGTAGTTGAGCGAATTCTCTTTAATAATATTCTCTTTCATAATATAGTACAAACTCAGAAAAAAATCTTTTAATTTCCTTTAATTCATTGAAAGTAATCATCTTTTTTAAACAAAGTTTGCATGTATCAACAAGCTTTATCCATTCTTTTAAATACCTGAAAAAAATAAAAGTTAATTAGGCTAAAATAAAGAATTTTTAATCAAATACATGAGATTTTTTACTAACTTTTTATCCAGATTTTCAGACAAAAGTGGAATTGAATACAATATAACTCAGTTTGTCTACTTCTTTGTCTTAAAAGTATTAGAATATTGGAGTATATTAACCAACAGATGTTTAAACTTGTATAACATGTTTTTTAATAATACTTCCAATTTGTTTCCAATTATCATTAGAGATATTGAAATTGTTATCTAATTTAAGTAATGTTCTGATCCAGTGCCAGAATATTACTGGAGCAATATTTTTAAAAAGATCATGCATAATATCTACTGGAAAATTATCTGGAAATCTTACTGATTTTAACTCTAGAAAAATATTTTGATTGTTTATACCAGTATCCTTTATTGATTGTGTACGATTGGCTTTTGATCCAGAATTTTCAATAATATCAATATCTCAAAGATAACTCTGATGAGTTCTTCCTGGTCTGGCAAGGCATTGGATGTGTAGCAGGTACTAATCGATCATTTTGGAGGTAATAATGAATAATATATATGTTTGTTATTTGCACAATAGATTCCTCACAAGTAACAAAAGTGATATTCCTGATATAAATTGTGTTCAGTGGTGCACATCACTTTTGCTAAAGCAGGAAGATTACTGGACCAACTCAGAATATGTGCACGTAATATAAAATTTTTATCACTTTTAATATTATAGTACTGAACTTCATCTATTATTTAGAAAAAAATTAGAATTTACAGTTCAAGAAGTTATTAGCACAGATAATAACTTTTTGAACTATAAATTTAGTAAGAAAGCAGAAATTATCCAGAAGGAAGGAGTTTTTTTATCTTGTAACTGTTTCAGTTCATTAACCAATGGTCTAAAAAATGAGTTAAAGTCCTTTGGAGTCTTAGGATCCAGAAATATCGCAACAATTATCAGATTTTTCTGTTTAATACGAATTTCTGGCAGAAGATTTGCATTGATTAAGAAAATCACCCAACAGTCATCCCATTTTTGTTAGAAGAGTTAAAAGCCATTTGTCGATTCCAATAGAGCTATATCATGATGATTCATAAAAAAGCTGATCCTTATAAGATTTTTATAGCATAAATCATCAAAAATATTATCAATTTTGTTTTTAGCAGAATATTCATTAGTGTTTATATATTCATTTCAATATCAAAGAAGTTGTGCTCATTTCTTATCATTATATTACATTTGTAATAAATTTATAACTGATCAATATGCAGCTTTTTTCTGATCCTCAGATAACTTTTTTTAGTTTTTGCCAACTTTGTATCACTCTTCATTACATGTGAAGTACTGATCTTTATTAGTATTCTCTCCAGTAAAAATACCACGTAGAAGTTAACATAGCAGTCAATAAGATTTAGTTCTATTAGCACCTGTTTTTCGAGAAACTTCCAAAGTTTATACAGGGTAATGCATGATATTGTTATTCCAGTTCTTTTAACAGTATTTATATAGCAGAAGGTCTTTAACAGGTCTCTTCTTACAGTTATAAG